CCGACCTCCGGTCCTTCCGACGCGCCCTAAAAAGTTGGCTTTTCCGGCAAGCCGGCCTTGCCTGAACCCCCCAAAAATAAATGATTGATCATTGTTAATTTTAATCGAATTTCTTTTAAAAATGCTATTGTTAATCTTAATTCGGTTTGTTTTTTGGATATTCTATTTAATTTTTTTTTAACTTTTGTATTATGTTGTACGCCACCCTGAGTCCTTGGGAGAAGGGCGGCATATAAATCTAATAAACCTAAACCTAACCTAACCTCCTGAACCCCTGCAAATTCCCAGCAACCCACCCCTACTTTAAGGGCACCTGGCCTGGGAACAGAATGAAGAATTCCATCGACTGGCACCAACATCCAAACTGTTCCCAAAATACCTGAATGGTGTGCTTATTGGACACTGATGAACTGATCAAGGCCAAGGAAAGGGGAAAAGTGTAATCTTTTTGTGCAGGAATGTTCAGACCTAACCTTTCTTTCATTGCAACCACTTAACCTTAGTAAAAGGACCTTTCAGTTCAACCAAATGGAGTCGAGGGTCTTTCTTTCCTAGGGATTTGAGTTGAGGCAGGCCTGACAGCTGATGTCATCTCTCCTTTTCTTCTCCTTGCTGGGATAACAACGCGACTCATATTTCTTTTATGCTTTCTCTATTTATACAGCTGCAGGTGGAGATCACTGATGTCTCTGGGAAGACTATAGAAGGTCCAGTCCCTTTTGATATAATGATCATTGATCAGAATGACAACAGGCCCATCTTCCGGGAAGGACCATACATTGGGCACGTCATGGAAGGGTCTCCAACAGGTGAGTAATCCAGATATATTTTTTTTCTGGAATCTCGTTTTGTAGGCCGTGATGATTTGGTTGATTGTGATGGAGAGCAGGATCCAGGTTAGACAAGATCTTAATGGAATTCGGCAGTCAATGAGTAAATTCAGTTGAAATCCTGCAATTCAGTTGGATTGGAAGAATCAGTTTTGGTGATTTGAAGATGGGAAGGGAAGGGGATTTCTAATGCTCCCTGCCAGATTCCCTCAAGGGAAGTCAATGGGAGGCTGGCAGGAAGCCAGAAATTGCTTCTCCTCCCATTAATTTTTTCCCCGCCTGTTTTTCTGTTCAGGTAAGGAAATATCTCTGAAACAGACCCAACAGGATACAAGTGGTCTAATGAATTTTAGAGCTGTGTTCACAATGGGAAATGTGTTTTATTTCAAGCTTGCAGAGAAAAAAAAACCCACTAGAAACATTTTGTTGAAATGTTCCAAGTTGGGTCTTATCAGAAGAGACAATACTGTGGGTGGTTGTTCTCGAAATTTAACCATTGAAGCTTTATTTTGAGATGGGAACATCCCATTCAGAATTGAGAGTTTGAACTGTCTTGATAACGTTTTAACAATAAGAACATTCCGTAATAATGATCTCATTAGTCTGCAACAACAATACTTTCGATTTTTGTAAGATGCCCCCTTTATTTCCATGACTGTGTCATGTTTTAGCTGCAGGAGTTCTGGTTTTAATGTTGCAGCTTCCTGCCCCTGCTGTTTCTCCTTCTATTGTTGCCTTTTTTTTTTCTTGGCCTTTCAGAATCCGAGAGGAAATGAGCAAGGAATTATCTTTCCTTTCTGGTGAATACCAAAGATTGGGTTGATGATACGAGAGGAGGAATGTCATCAGAAACATTTGGGAAGATAACTTGGGAGAGGTGTAGTTGCAGGGCGAAGTGTCACCACTTGTGACAGCTCCTTTGCGAAGCCTTGAGTTTCTGCGGACTGCAATAAATCACAAATACAGAAAGTTATATCAGTAGATCATGCAAGACAACTGATCATCTGTTGTGGCCCATCAGCAGCCAGTGGAGCTGGCAGCAGATTCGGACAGTGGGGAGGTTGGGGAGGAACATGGGCCAGTCCTGGAGTCTGGGGAAAGCTTGGATGAGGGCTCTGTGTTGGAGGCAGAGAGGGGGCCATGGGCCGTCTGACAGTTATCAGCTGCCTTCGGAGTCAGACATCAGTGAGCCAGAGAAACACCTGGAGCCTGTTCCCAGTGTGCGCATAGGGAGAGTTGCCAGATGAAGGGAACAGCTAAAGAACAGGGGTTGACTTGGGAATAACGCCAGAGATGGATGATGAATGGCCCCTCCCAGAGGGAATAAAAGAGGAGTGAAAGGGGAGTGGAGTTTGCAGGAGACCATTAGTTCGC